AGCAAAACACACTCCAGGCCCAGACACAGCCTGCTTGGTCTTCCACCACCCCACCCCGCAGGCCGACGGACCAGGGGACAGACACAGGCAGGGAGGAGGGGAAAGGAGAGACCCACTGGGGGGCTGGGGTGGAGATGACATGGCCCCCAAACCCTGCACAGCCCCACCCAGCCTGGCCCAGGGCTGGGCCACTCAGAGCAAAGGCCAAGTTCCTCAGCTCAGAAAACTTCTCATCGGCTCCAAGCGCTTCCCGGTTCTCAACGGGGCCGCCACACAGGCCACCGGCCTTGCTCACAGAAAGAAACAACACACCGATTTCCTCTCGTTAAAGACTAAAAACAGCTACAGCACTTTTTGTTTCTTGCTCTTTGGCGGGGCTATCCTAATTGCTTCCATATTCAGGCTGGCTGTCCATGTCTGCAGAGGGACGGACACACCATCCCCGGGGAATTCCTGAGCCCGCCCCCCCCCCCCCCCCCCAGGCTGGCACCTGGGCAGTCCCTCTCTAACAGGTAGCGCCCACCCATCTCACAGAGATCGCCCTGGGCCCAGGAGGCTGGCTGGTGGCCCCAGGGCCGGCAGCTTCCCTCCTTCCTCCTTCCCGGCCTCCCTCATTCCAACCTCTGTTCAGGCCACTCACCATCTCTCAGCGTGGCCACCGAGCTCGCCAGGCCCAGGACACCAGGGGGCCGGGCCAGCCGGCCAGCTGCCCGCCGTTCCCCACCGGGCCCAGCCAGTCCAACCCAGCTCTGGTCCTGGACATGCCACTCCAGCCCTGTCCGCTGGGACTAATCATGGCTAGTTAAACAAAGGCGAAGTTCCAACTCTCCGTAATGTGCTTTTAAAGGAACAGTGTCCCGCTTGGCCCAACCAGGGTCTTAAAGGCACAGATCCCTTTTTCTTTACAGAAAACCGGACATCAAACAACAAAAACCAAAGAGTCATGATCAGATTGAAGGTCTTGGGCTTCTAAGTAAGACTGTAGATAAAATGCACAATAGTAAAAAAATCCAAATTTCACCCCAAGGCTCCAAAGAACCCCAAAACAATGGGGCTACATCTTGAAGAATAAGCGCAGAAATGGCAGCCCTTTTTAAGCACTCGCTTCGCGCCTGGAACAGCGCTTAGCACTTCATAGCGTGGGCTCACTATTCCTCACAACCACCCCACAAGACAGGCAATAGCTGGCCCCATCTCGGAGGAGGAACGGCCATGGGCAGAGGTTCCCAACCTGCCCAGGACTTCATACAGCGTGCGGAAAGCTGGGACCCAGCCACGAGAGGTCAGCCAAAGCCAGGATGCGTTCCCCCACTTGCTCCCTCCCACTCCCGCAGGCCCAGCTCTCCCCAGCCCAATAGCACCTTTCCTTCATGGGCAAAATGAAGGGGTGAGGATGAGGGCTCACTTGTCACAGGCACCCTAACACGGGGCTTTCATCTGGGCCTCAAAACCCTCTGAGGTTGGTTCCAGTCTTTCCCCTTCTCACATACAGATGAGAACACTGTATCACGACATCTGGCAGGACATGAAGGAGAGAGACAGGCAGACCTGCAGCGGTGGGCACTTCACACCCAGGCCCAGCCCCCTCCTGGACAAGCTGCATGGCCAGAGGTGGCGGCAGGTGAGGGGAGCCCGGGGCTCAGCAGGCTCTCCTGGGGCCCCAAGGCTCCAGAGGGTGGGCAGGGCCTGCCCAACTGCTAGATAGAAGGGGGCCAGGGGAGGAAAGGAAGAGAGACTTGACTGCCTGGGCCTCAGTACCTGTTCTAACAAGCCCTCTGAAAAAGACGGGCCATTTCCTGGCACCTGGGGTAGCTAGGCAGGCAGTAGACGCTGTTTCTCAGATGCCATCCTCTATCTGAAAGGCCAAGGCCAGGCGGAGTCCTCGGGCCTAAAGCTGCAGGGGCGAGCCAGTCAAGGATTTACCACCCTCCTTCTGTTTCCATGGAACCCCAGTCACATAAGCTTGAGGCTACAGCCTAGCGGTTAAAAACATGGGCTCTGAAGCCAGAATGGCCAGTTCAAATCTGGGCTGTGCCACATACAACTTGTGTGCTCTTGGACAAGGCCAGTCACCTCTCCGGGCCCCTGTTTTCCCCTCGGTCAGATGGACAATAGTAATGGTATAACCTCACAGGGTGGCTGTGAGGAGTCACTGATTGCAGACAAAGCCTGGCTCAGAGCGAGCACTGAAGAGAGACCAGCCCAGACTACCCCGGGAGGCACACAGCTGGAAACCAGTCCTGGGTAGTAACCCTGGGCAAGTCACTTTTCTCTGGGCATTAGTTTCTTTGTGTAAAAAGGAGGGAGTCCAATTGGGACCCTCATGACTACCAGGCAAGTCCACCCTCCCAGAACCTCTCAAATGCCCACCCTCTCCCAGGAGGCCAGAAAGACAGGAAGGCTGGGCTGTGGCCCAAATACTTTGAAACCTGAAAACAGCCTGCCTCTGCCCCACCCCCAGGCCAATTGGGATTTGCTGGGCAGGCGGAGGAAAGAGAGGGCACGAAGCAGCCAAGCAGCGACACTGACTGTCATCAGGAGGCAGCATAAGAGTGTCACCTCTCCAGGTGGAGCCCAGCCCGACCTTGGCCTTCTCTGCCCGTCCCCTCACTCCCCAGGTGTCCCCGGGGTTTGTGGTGCAGCTGACCTCGCTTTCCTGTGGGAAGCTGTGCAGCAGTCAGACAAGCCACCTCACACCTGCCGCACAAACAGCCTCCCTCGGCCCCAAGCGCCCCCAGGCTTGGCCAGGCTCGAGGCCTGCCTCCTTCTACCTTCCTGGAGCCTAAAGCAACCAGCATGTGTGCTGAGGGCGGGCAGGGCAGGTGTGGAGCACCAGAGGAAACAAGGTAGGAGGCGGGAGCAATGCCCTGCAGCCCTGGCAGACCATGTGGCCACTATCCCTGGGGCAGCAGGGCCCCGGGTGGCTTAGGCGCCACCATTACCTCCTCACCCACAGGGCTATTAATCAGTCAGCAAGGGGTGGCCTGACCTGGCGTCCCTCCTCCCGCACAGGCCACTGTGCTCCTTCCCAGGCACCCGCATCACCTTTCCCCCAGGTGTAGTTTCTCAGGATCTGATTTGGGACACTCCTCCAGGAAGATACTTTCCTTTGGTGATTTCACCACTCCTTAGCTTTAAGTATGTCCAGTGTGCTCAGGGCTCCTATGTTTCTATCTCCAGCCCTCCCCTCCCCTGAGCTCCAGGTTCACAGATCTAAGTGCTGGCTGACATCTCCTGGACTCCTGAAAGTCCAAAGTGGGCCTCCATCTCGGTGATTAAAGCGTAGAGTCTCAAACGCCATGAACCCTACCTCTCCTTGGCCCCATCAGCAAATCCGACTGCTACCTCCTCGGAAATCCCATACTCATCCACTCCATGGAACCTGCTCGGGCAGCTCACTCCACCCCCCAACTCCCTACTAGGGTGGAACTGGGACCCTTTAGAAATGCAAATCATTATTTAACTCCAGGGCTAGAAACCCATCAATTAGTCCAATCAGCACTCAGAATACATCCAAAGTCCTCCCCAGGTGGAAGACGTTGGCCAGGTGGATTACCAGCCCTCAGCCCTCATCCAGCAACCCCCACCCTGCACCTGCAGGCAGCCTGGGCTTGCCTGCCTCCGGGACTTTGTACTGCGGCTCCTCTATTTTCCCTCTCTTCCGAAGGCTGGCTGGCTTAGGGAATCTTTTGGAACTCAGCCCTCCCCCTACTGCCCCATTCCAACAGCTCTTGACACATCCCCATTACTCCCCACTGAACCACCTAGCATGCTTCCTTCATTGCACCTTGCTCATTCAGCCAGCAAATATTTAAATGCAAACTATGTCCCAGGCACTCTTTTGAGCACTGGGAATCCAGGTGCTGAACTAAGCAGACAGAAATCCCTGACTTATATTTCAGTTAGGGAACTTCCCCCAACCTGGAATTCCTTTCCAGAGCTCGGTATGCCCCAGGGCCACGTCTGTGTGTTGTCCACATCCTGAGGCACAGGGGGGTGGGGTTTGGCATGCTCTAAGCGCTCGGTAAGTATTTGAAATAATGAGTGTGCAAAAAAACAGCATGGCAGCAAAGAAACCAAGACTAGAAAGACACAGAAGTCAAGAGTCCGGCCTTCAATGTCTCCTAGGGAGATGCCTCTCGCTCTCTGGGGAGTGGGTGCCCAGGTGAGCGAGAGGCTTCTGCCGCCCCCCAGCCCCTATGGGAGATGGACTAGATGCACAGGGGCAGCTTCGGTCCACTGACTGGAGAACAGAGGGCTGACCGCAGGCCTGCGCAGCCAGGGAAGGCTCCCTGAAGAGGTGACATCTGAGCAAGGCCCCGTCACCCCCCAGGGCCCCCAAATCTAGGGAGAGGGAGAAAAACAAAATTGTGGTTTAGGACTCTGAAGTCCTTTTCTCTAGTAGGAAAAAAAGAAAAAACCGTGCTCCAAAAACCCCTTTACTTTTCATTAGTGTCTGGATCAATACAAGTTTTCGGAGTCAAGCTCCTCGCCTGCAATACTAACCACCAGAGAGACAGGCTAGGATGATTAAATCTGGGTCCAAGAGCCCCAGGGACTTGCCCCTTCTCCTCACCTGCGCTGGCAGCCTCCCACTAAAGAACAGGCAGGGGTCCTCACTGGGAACACAGCCTGAGGTCAAAGCCCCCTCCTGACAGCCTGCCTTGCCAACCCCACCAGTTCCCTGAGCCTAGATCACCTTCCAGGTGCCCCACTGCCTCCCCGCCCCGAGACCTGATGCTCCCAGAGGGCAGGGCCTGATTCCCAGAAGGAGAAGCCAGCCTAGCAACCCCGGGCACCCACCTTTGCACTTCCTCTCAAGCCCCTGAAGGGTCCTAGCTGGCTGTTGACCACCTTCACTCATCAATGAGGCCCTGGCCCCAGGACAGGGCTCCCAGGAGAAACAACCCCACAGCCTCCAGTCTCCCTCCACCCCCATCATAGGTCCACGACAGAAGGAAGCTTCCTGTGCCCCTGCCCTGGCAAAGCCACCCACAGACCTTGGCGGTGAGAACCCTGGCCTCTCCGCAGACCCAGGTCTGGGTACCAGGTGCCGGGGAGCCAGATCCAGCTTTTGAGAATGGGCAGGCCTCCACAGCGCAGATCCTCTGGCCCGGTCCAGGATCTTGCTGAGGTTGTCACCAAGGAGTCCAATACCACAGAGGCTCATCCCCAAGGATGGTTGGCATCCAGGTGCCACTTCTGGCGGGATCAGGAGACCTCTCAGCCCAGGCCAGCATCTAAGAGGCGTGCCCAGGCAGGCTTCCCCCTTCCTGCAAAGTACACGTTGAATCTGTCTTCCAAGTTGAAATTTCACAAACGTCTTAAAAAAAATACAGCGGTGACAACATCGAGAGATTTCCGGGTCCTCCAGAGAACAGTGGAAAATTACAGCCTTCCATACAGGTAACCAGTAGGCACCACCTCCAGGTCCAAGAAGTTTAGAAAGACGCCTGGAAACCGCCACTTCCGGCCTCAGGAAAGGGTCCCTCCCAGGGCACCTGAGCAGGGAGCTCTGTCTGGGCCTGGCTGAGACTCACGCCAGGAGAGGTCCCTCCCAGGCTCCTCCCCTAAAGCGCTGGCTCCGCCCAGGGTCATCAACGGCCGGGAGCCCCGCCTCTGGGTCTTTGCACTGGACATTCCCTCCGCTGGCCCTGGCTCTAGGCAAGGCTGGTTTTGCCTCATTCTTGTCTCAGATCAAGTGTCCTCTCCTAGAACAGGCCGTTCCTGAGCACTCCCGCTAAAGGAGCAACCCCCCCACCCCCCCAAGTTATTACCTGGCTTCATATTCTTCATAGCACTGACCTGAAATCTCCCCCCAAGTTATCACCTGGCTTCATATTCTTCATAGCACTGACCTGAAATCACCTTGTTTGCCCCCTCTCTCCCACCATGAGAATCTCAGGTCCACAGGAACAAACCTGCTCACCCTGGTAAACCTGGCACACCGTAGGCCGATGCTGGTACAAGATAGGCACTGACAGATGTGTTGAATGAACCTTTCTGGGATGGGCCAGCTAAAACTGTATAGGTGGGAGTGGGGGTAACCAAAAGACTGGGAGGGATGCCAGAGCCACCTCCCTGGGCACTGCACACTGAGCCTTCCAGACG